CTTCATACGAAAAAAAGATCGCTGAATCGTTCCATCATCTCTCCTGGTCATTGTAATTTCGAGGAAACCGAGTTTGTTATTCGATTCGAGTTCGGAAGTCACTCGGATATTTGGATGAATATAATTAAATAGGGTAATAAAGTTTTCAATAGATTTACTGTTATTACCAATAATGAGAGTATCATCTACATAACGTTTATATATTATATTAATTTATTGCTCTTAATCTTATTTTTTAAATAGTTTTTCCCATAAACGGCGTTCGTGTTGCATCATTCCCATTACATTTACTGGCAGCTGATTTGACGAACAGAAATTCTGTAATTATCCACCTACTCTACCTAACTATGTCACATTTTGTTTCATACCCCCGTCGCATCTTGATGCAGGATCTAATGAAAGTATATGAACAATTTCATCGTGGGATTACACTCATTTTATGATTTTGTTTTATTCCTACACGTTCCCCAGTGGAACATAGGGCTTCAAGCTACAGGCTTGAAGTTTCGGTAGCAGTGGTGCTCTATTTTACGCGATGGTGTTGCTAGCTCCATGCCCAACCTTTCCTCTTTACCAGTCTTACTACTGCCTAAGCGAGGTTTGGGAGTGCGTCGGTGGCTGGGGATCGAACCCCAGACCACATGAGGCGTGGTCGGCAGGCATTCTACTACAGAACCACCGACTCACCATTTTATGATTAAGGCCAGGAAAATCTGATGAGAAATCGTGTGAAGTTCATTATTGTCAACTGGTATTCGTCTTAATAATTCAGCGACCATGACATACTCTTAAGAATAAATGTGTTCCTTATTTTAAAACTACTCTGTCTTATTGAATCTGGCAAACATCCACCTCTCAGAGCTAAAATCTAAGACTAATATCAGGAGATGATCAAATACGTAAATGGAATGTATACAAAGAGAAGTCATTTCATTAGGTCTACCGTTTTCTTTGAGATGTTCTAAAGAAAATGACTTAGTTGGAGGATTTCATCATGACCTGACATTAGTTAGAGAACCATTGGAAAACCTTGGAGTACTGACCCTATTCAGGTAGTTACCTGGGGTTCTAGTGGGAAGCCATGACCAGTAGGGTACAGCAGGTTGAAAATGGGGCAGTAACTCATCAAAGAAGACATTGCGAAGTGGTCAAGCAATGTCATAAACTGGCAGAAGTTAGAATTCATCGACTGGTCACTGAATCGAGTCCCAGTGACTGAACGGTCTATGAGCTGGCCCTGGAACCAGATGGTCCTGGATTCGAACCCCTGTGGTGGGTGTGCACTGATGAAGAGTCCCGAAGTAGGAAGTAACGGCTGTCCAGTACTCCCAGCTGGTTTTCCAATGGTTCTCTAACTGATGTCAGCTCATGATGAAATCCTCCAACCAATCAAACAAAACCCTACAAAACAAATACTGGAAAATGACTTCGACTTGTTGCAAAATGTATGTGTTGTTAGACTGCCTATAGCGTCTTTTATGATTGGTATTAATTACACAAATCAATCGAAATCTTCAGTTCTGTTTGTGGCGGATGGAAAAATGCATATCCGTAGGGTAACACTGTATACTTCTAATATGTAAAAGGGATTTGCCAACTTCTTTTGTTGTATCTGATCCAACACACTGATAGAAAAAGGATGAAGTAATCAAGTGTTAATCGAATTCGTGCTGGGGTTCATTAGAAACTTATATTAGAGAGTTTGGGAATAACTTGAGCGGTAAATATGAGTAACTCAGGATCGAAGTCTTTCTGCAGATCATTCACAGCATGATTAGCTTACTCCAAACTGTCTTAACAAAAGCATCACGTGCCTGAAATCAATCTGATGAATGCAACTCCTCGAGATATCTGAGGTGATCCTTTAGTGGTTAAAGCTGTCTGCTAGCCAACATTGGTAGACAGTAATTTACGTCAATGTTCACGTCCCAAATCTTGATCATCACAAAAGAGCAAGAACAATCACAGCAGACTACGTGGGCGAATACGATTAGCAGATATATCAATGAACTGTCTAAGAAATGGCCACAAAGAGATGAGAGAATAACCTTCAGCAGGAAAACAATCAATCAGAAGACGTTAACTGTCTGCTTACAAAAACGAATAATAATGTACATAAAAATCTATAAATATCTGTTGATTTTCTCAATAAACGATGTGTTGTCTGGCCCTTGTCTTCTGTCGTTACACTTTAACAATAGTTTTGAAAGTTTGGACGTACTTTCTGAGTGTAGATTCTAACATGAGGGCGTAAAGTGCATACGTCAGAATTTGAGAATAACAAAGGGGACTTAATCATTCCTCATTGTTAATTTAAAAGTAGGTAACATCGAAAATTTAAGCTGTAGCACACTATTCTCGTTCTTAGACGTATTTAGGAAACGAAAATCAATACTCTGCCAATCCGATTAAATATAATTAAATTTGAAATATGTTTAAAAATGCCAAGTTTTATTATCCTCATATTTTGAATTATTTGTCAATCATCTGTTTCCATCTTCAATTGTTCTGTTGTGCCAAATAACCACAGTGAAGTGCTTTAAGAGACACTAATCAACGATCGTACACACTTATAAAAATACTTCTCAGTGGTGCACTGCATTTCGCCTTCTTCAGTACAGCTTTTGTGCTTTTACTATTGATGTTATCGGCTGTGTTAAGCCAAGCACACATTGATTTTCATTACCAATCACTCCGTAATCCCATACTTTAGTCTAACTTAGTCATAATACGCTCATCTAATCTTATATTTGTGATTTTAAATGCTTGATTTCAGCGAACAGATAAATAAATCAACTGTCAGTGTATTGCCTTCTGGGAGAAGTTCAACATTAGCGTCTTAGGAGTGAGAACGCTCCAATGACCTTGAACGCATGCTAGTCGTTGGCTAACGGCATCCATCATTATCATAGCTGAAATTTCAATGCCATTCAACACGTAAATAGCAAATTCCATCTAAATCACGTTTTTAAGTACTGTTTGGACAATGCGTAAATGGCTAGTTAGAGTTAGGATTAGGGTTAAGGCAAGTATTAGGGTTAGGGTTAGGACTAGGGTCATAATTAGCATCAGGGTTAGGTTTACGGTTAGGATAAAGGTGTAATCAGGGTTAGTGTTAAGTTTAGGGTTAGGGTCAGGATTAAGGCTGGCTTACACCTAGGGATAGATTTAGAGTTGATGTCATTTATTTTAATTTGTTTAATTATCCACATTTTCATGGTGAGTTGTCATCGATCCTCTTACTGGAAATCCTATTAATTCAACCGAGGGCTTTTGGGGGAGACTGCACATGAGGATAAGAGAAATAAACGATTCACAAAAACAACTAATCTTCAGTCACCTCAGTAAATTTCTTAAGTCATGTCAGAGAAAGATCCGCTGTTTAATGTGTTTTCATGCATTTTCATGTAAATAAACGTCATTTTTTGTGCAAAAGTTCCTCATTTTTATGATTGGTAGGCTCAAGGTCACTTGTGCGCTCGCATCCCTTGGGACATCGCTGTTGAACTTTGCCGCCTTCTGCAGCAATAAAACTTATTTTTTCAGTTTAACCACGGATTGGTATCAGTTAGAGAACCAGTGAAAACCAGCACTGGAGGACTGGACAGCAAGCTGTTTCATCCTAGTTTTGTGGGAATCATCAGAAGTACGCACCCACTGCCAGGGTTTGAAACCAGGATCTTCCGGTTACAAGGCCAGCCAGCTCGTATACCATTCAGCCACCACTGGGACCCCATTCAATGGCCAGGTTATGAATTTTAACTTCTACCAATTCTCCAGTTTAGCTCGACCACCATCTAACTGATATCAATCCTTACACAACAACTCTTGAAAATAAAACTTATTGTTATGTGTGCATGTGATAAGTATCAACATATTTAAACTGTTGTTTTAGTTTAGATAACTGTTACTACTTTTGTTTGTCTACATAGTTCTGGGAGAAACAAATAATAATAATAATATTAGTAGTAGTAGTAGTATGATCTTTTATGGATATTTTGCATATGGAATATGGTAAATAAAATATGTTTACAAGCAAGTAAACAGCAATGCAATGCAATGCAATGTGTGGAATGGCATAAAATTCATGCTTCAGAGAAATTCCACCTATGTCTATTGTCTTCTGTTTGTATACCACAGTTACAATCACAAACAAAGATAAACAAACGCACATAAATGATTCCAGGTGTAAAACTTTGTGTTATATTATGCCTTTGATGGGATGGATACATGTGTGTGCGTGTGTAGGTGTGTGTGTGTAGGTGCGTGTTTGTTCAAGTGAATTCAAGGTCTAATATGTGCATAGGGTAAGCATATCTCTTCTAATTATAGAGGATAAATACATCGAATTATTTTCTATAGTTGGTTTGTTAGGATTAGTTTTGTTTCTACGAGTTGATCACGGATTGATATCAGTTAAGAAACCATAAAAAACCATCACTGGAGTACTGGACAGCTGTTTCATCCTAGTTTGGGAATCATCAAGAGTGCGCCCCCACCACCAGGGTTCGAACCCAAGACCTTCTGGTTACAAGGCAAGCTCGTAGACCATTCAGCCACTGGAACCCAGTTCAGTGGCCAGCCAATTAATTCCACCTTCTACTAATTAGTGATTTAAAGCGACAGCCAACTAATGTCATTGGTTGGACATCCGTCCTCACACTTGACTGAATGGATGTACTGCCGACGACATTAGTTGATGGTCGCGCTGAAATCACGAACTCGTAGAAGCTAGAATTCATGTCCTGGCTATTGAATCGGTTGCCAGTGGCTGTGAATGGTATACGAGCTGGCCTTGTAACCGGAAGCTCCTGGGTGCGAATCCTGGCAGTGGGTGCGTACTGCCAATGATTCCCACAAAACTAGGATGAAACACCTTGCTGTGCAGTACTCCAGTTCTGGTTTTCAATGCTTCTCTAACTGATATCAATCCGTGATCAACTCGTAAAAACATCGAATTATCTTTTAAAAAAAAGAAATATGCATGTAGAAACAATTCACTAAAACAGTAAACATTGAACAAAGCACAAAGTAAAAGAAATTCATATTTTTGAACTTTTTATATTTATTTACAAGAAAATTTATTTCGCTTGTAATTTTTTTTTGATTCTGATGAAGAGAAGAATAAGAAGAAAAAAAACAAAAAGAACAAACCGAACAAAATTGACCCATAAAAGTGTAACCACACTTGTTCAACTAGCAGTGATAGATAATATAATTGAAGAAAATGTTATTCACTCTAAATAAGATTGAATAAATGAAAGTCAAACAATTAAACAATCGAACAATCGAACGAACAAATTCATGCCAATATAGTAGGTAGCAAAAAGAAAATGAAGTGGGAAGTTCAAATCTAAGATGATCGTCTATTATCGTGTTTAGATTTGTTCGTTTCGTTTTCATCTTCAACGATGCATACTTCTTCCTGGAATAAAGAAAGTTAACATAAAATGAAAAACGGACTGATAAGAAATGACTTGATAAAAAAATGGGAAAAGTATACGGTTTTGTTTTTGTAATAGTGTACAAGACTGAGGTTTAATCACGGCAAAATACGTCCTTAGGAGTACTCGGGAGTTGTTTCATCTTAGTGTGTAACTGTTCGTCAGTATGTACACAACACAGGGGTTTGAAATTAGGAACCTCTGGTTACAAGGCGAGTTCATAGACCATTCAACTAGTGGGACCCGACCTAACAGCCCATGAATTCCAACTTCTGCCGGTTTGTCGTGTATATACAGCAACCACCAGCTAATGTGGTAAGCGAGTAACTGTTCTCTTACCAGACTTGCATGACTCCTCTGGCTACTATTTCTTAAAAGAACTCCAGTCAAATTCATGTGTTGAGTCAGTGGCTAGTGAGCATCAGATTAATATATGTGTAAAACTTGGGCACTGTGGTAGCAAGTAATTCCATATTAGTTTGTTTATTGGATGTATCACACAGTGAAACAGTATTGTTTACTGGATGATAAAGTTTCGAACAAAATTTATTGTTCATAATCATACGATTTCGAAATTTGAGTTCTATAGTTTTCTTTGTCTTCTCCTATTTGTCGTAGGGGTAGTAGAATTTTCCAGATATCTGGGTGGACAGGTGTTGAATCATTCTCATTACACATGTCTGCAGTCGATTTGATAAAAAAAAGTTTCCGTTATAATCAATCTCTCCCTCCACCCTGTTACATTAGATTTTAAAACTGTCATCTTATCCCATCCCATTGGATGGTTGTGTGTAATTGCACATAGTGAGTGGTATAGCTGAACTATTCTCTACATTTCTTATCTTATTCGTGTTAACTATTCTAGATTTCGATAGGTTTTTCTGCTCCGCTAGTCTAACTGATTGACCCTGTTCTACTACTTTGACCTCTGCATTTGACTTGACAATCATTTCAGCATAGTATTAGATAAAGTAAATTCTTTTATTTAATTAGCTCCACATGATTGATCCTTCAACTGACAAAGCTTGTTTCTAATTGAGTTTGTGGGTGATTGAATGCCAGCCTCTTTTATTCCTGCATTGTTAAGAATTCTCTGTAAGGTTTCAGAGGTTCCTTCTTTGTATGGAATTACTACTGGTGATTTAGATTCCTTATTGTTGGTGTTATCATTATCTTGTGCATGTTTGACATGCATGTCGTCATTAATATTATCATTATCACTATCACTACTATTATTATTATTTTGTTTTTACATTTCCCTACATACTTCCTGATATAGTCGTCAGGGTAATTATTAAGTTTCAAAACTTCTCTAATATGCCTCACTTCCTGTTCCAGATTTTCCTTGGTTCTAATTAGTTTTATGCTCTATTACTTAAACATTTCACCAATATTATTTTTACTGACATAGGATGGGATGATCGGAAGTCCAAATATCTGTTTGAATGTGTGGGTTTCCTGTAAACACTAGTGTTTAACTTCCCATTTTCTTTCCTTTTTACGTTCTAATGTAACATTGGAAGTTGTCCTTCCTGACTTTCCAGTTCATAGGTGAATCGAAATGCCTCCACTTCCATTATATGGAAGCATCACATTAATTCTGAGGTGTTACCTTTTAGGGAAGTGAATGGTAACAGATTTGATCACGAGTTGGTACCAGTTAAAGAACCATTGAAAAACTTTGTCAGGTAAGAGAACAGCTACTCGCCTATCACATTAGCTGGTGATTGCACCATATACATACACGAACTAGCAGAAGTTGGAATTCATGGGCCATTAGATAATATGCCAGTGGCTGAACGGTCTATGAGTTCGCCTTGTAATCGGAAGGTACTAGGTTCGAACCCCTGCGGTGGGTGCTTACTGGTGAGGAGTCCTAAACTAGAATGGAACAGCTATGCAGTACTCCAAGGTTTTCCGATGATTGTCTGACTGATTTCAACTGGTGATCAGAAGTGTAATTAGTCAAATCCCTGAAAACCAACTCTTCATAAATGGGTCCCTGGCTTATTATGATTAGAATCAACCATCGGCTGTGATATACTGAATAATGTTATCCTGTTTCTACTGCTAGAAAGTTTATTTTATAGTCCCTAAAAAGATTCCATGTTTAATCTCACTATTAGGCTAAGTAGACCCTTGTATAGGGAGAAGAGATAAACATATCCATATGGCATATATAATATATACATGATGTGTATATATGTTTACATTCACACGTGATGAGGCCTCATATCAGTGATAAAATAACATATATTTTGTTTCTGATTATAGCTGGATTACACACCGCATTTTTGGTACAAGTATGGAATTTTCAGCATGTGATATCGGTAGCTTAAATTTCGCAGGTCGACCAATTGATATCAGATGTGCGTCGGCAGGGGATCGAAACCCGGACCATGTGCATGCTGTGCCACTGACGAAGTGCCTCCATGTCCATATTCAAACCCTCTGCATGAGAGAGAAAATTATCCCAAAAATCATCCTGCTTGCAATGCAACACAATACATATATAATTTGAAGAATAAATTCCACCACAGCGATTAATGATTTAAGATGCAAATTTCGCTATTAGCCCCCTTCTTACAGAAAACGCTCCAGCAGAATATTTATTTTGCGACTAATAAATGACATACACCTAAGAGGTAAGTTAAAAGAAGGAGTACGATACCAGCCTATCCAACCTAAGTGAAGCTCCGTAAATACTCAGACTCAGTTAGTTGATATTAGTGAAGCATCTAAAGATGATATAGCTCATTAATTTTATTTTTACCACTGTGGAGGATAAAACTACAGCCGAATGTTAACTCAACAGTTTCCAATTCTGAGGATTCCTCAAACTAAACGCTGTAAGAGTTTATAGTTGAGTATTTATGAATCGATGTTAAGCGTCTGACTGCATTCAGTAGGAATTCATAGTACAGTGATACTCGGAAGAACACAGGGCTCTATCTAAATGAGGAAAAAGCAATGAACACGGGCATTTTAGTGTATGTGAAATAGCTCAATTGAGTGAGAGAAAAAGAGATCATCACACTGTCTGTTGATGTTCTCTACCCTCTTTTTATCTCCAAACAAATATGTAGTACAGTGGAAGGCAGCGAATTACTATTTCACTAGAGTATAAATATTTCGCATAAATAACTTAAGTTGACTCCCAGCTTTAGTTAACACTTTTAATCACATTTTTCCATTTAAATTTATCAATGAATGTGGTAAGCACTTTCGTGTTGCTGCGATGACATTTCTAAAATGAAAATATCCGCCATAGATGAATGAGGTGATTGTCTATAAGGTTGGATGGCAGTGCTGTTGCTTTCACTGAGTGGTATTGCCAGCAGGATACCCAGTCTATCCTTTTTATGGAGCTTAGAGTTGCCTAGTACACTAAGCGAGACTTAGGAATATACCAATTGGGAATCGATCTGTAACCTCCTGCCTGGTTCATCAACATTTAACCATTAAACTACCAGAGTACTAACTCAGTAATATTAATCTAAGAAGTTGGCTTCATGTTCAGGATAAAAGTAAGGGCTGTTAAAGTTACTTGAGGATTGAAAGCAGTATGCAAGGGATCACTGATTCGAAATCAACTGAGATAAATTCTGATCACAAAAATATTTTACAAATATCAGTATGACTGCACAGCCTCTGAAGATGATTTCGTTGATAAAGAAAATTTTCTTTGCTGAATTGACTTTTTTATTTTCATTTTGTTAATACTGTGCATATTCTAGTCTGCATGCAGCTGAAGAGAAGCTTCAAAATTAAACATGTACATTTTACACTACAAATTTTGTTCTGCTTGCTTTGATGAAGCGTTAATAATTGTTTTACAATACATTAGTTGTTACTGGTCATCCTGAAGGTAAACGCAAAATGCCTCTAGAATAGTATAATACCTCCTCATCTAAGCAGAAATGTTCTGTGTATTGAAACAACTTCAGACAATAACTGAATTAACGAAATGAGAATTGATGAACTTCTGTTTGCTAATTGTTACTATAAACGTCGTGATAGGTATGCAATTCTATTATTACTATTATTATTCTCAAAGGCCCTGAGTAGAACATAGAGATTCAACAGCATACTCCCCATTTAATTCTGTTCCTTGAGGTCTTCTTTAGCTAGCTTCAAGAATGCCCATAAGCTTTCATCTCCTGCCAACATGATCTCCTTCTTGTCACACTCCGACGCCGAACTTGTCGTCTCCTATTTGGGTTCCAAATCAAGGCTGTCCTGGAACACGATCTCACTCAATAATCCTCTCAGCAAATGTCTGGTCCTTCCCCATTTTCTTCGATATATTTGTTGAACTCTGGGTTATTGGTTGGTTCGGCATCATTTATGATTATCTGATGTTCAGCGTGGAGCTGTGGAAGGCAGCTGTTTATATAATTCTGCAGCAACCTGTTCAGAATGCTTTCAGGACGCGCCAAGTAACTGAACCATATAGAAGCACTGACTAGCTTGAAACTTGTGTTGAAAATCTGAATCTTGTTGCTTATCCTGAGTGCAGTAAATTTTGACATTGATTTAAGAGTAGTGAAGACCTACTTCACCTTTCCGATGCCACCTTTCACATCCTCATCTGTGGTGCCTAGAGTTGAAGTGATACTGCCTAGATTAATGAATAAAGTGATTTCCTTCAACTTTCTCTCGCTGATAGTGACTGGCACTTGTTTTTGTTGTTGTTGCTGGTTGGGTATCATCACCTCTGCCTTCTGTATGTTCACTTGTGATCCTGTCTTTCCTGCGTTTATTAGTGGTTAAAAGAATGTCGAAATACCAATGAACAAACCGGGTATCTCACCAATATGCCGTATTAAAACATACGACTATTAACCACAGAGTAATAATGTTCTTAAAATTTAAGACTCTCAAAGTCACATCATGCAAATAAACTTACAAAACTAGTCTTGACTTGAAGGCCAGAGGTTAATTTATTTCACCAACAACTTAGATATGAAGCTTTTCGATAAACACAAAATTATCCTAGATTTTTGTCTTATTCAGTCTTTTAAGGCTAAAATATTCAATTAGTGATCAATAATTAAAGAAACAATCAATCATGTAGCATAAAATAATCAATAATTAACGCTGTTGTTTCTCACAATGTTTTTCAAATTAGATAACGTATTTATTCAAAAAAAAGCTTACCCCTCTTCTAGTAGTCTCTTGGTACTCGTTTGCAGTGTCATCTTCAGGTATTTCGTAGATAAAAACATGTGCATGTAAGAAGGTGAACATTGTAACAGATAGAAGACAAAGACCAGAACTTAAGCAGCCAACTCCAATTGATAATATATCTCTATTAAACAAATGTGAAATACAGAAAAAGTGTTGCATTAATCAGTTGTACTTCATAAGCTTGCATATATATAAATTATATTAGATGGTTGGAGGCAATCGGTAAGAAGCCTTGGATCTAGGTTGCGTACTAGTTGACACTCACTAGTCAGCAGGGGATGTCTGTAGTCTTGAAGGAACTTGGGTCCCTTCTGAGGCCCCAAGTCGCATCACTTAGTGCTGCAGTCAGAGACGTTACCAATGAGCTATTCAGCCTTGCGACTGACCTCCTGTAGGACTATGTCGGATACTTTGATTGAACGCTAGATAGTAGCTAGCGTCATGTGTCTGGTGCTTTGTTTCGTGCAGACTGAATTCTCTCAGTCAAGTATTCATTGTGAAAACTGGGTGACGTCCGTGGTCAAACTCGTAAAAACAAATCTAATCCTTACAATCCAACTCTTGAAATTTTATGTGGTAACAAATATTAAACATTGGAAAATAATTAGATAAACAAACGAGTTAATTTGTTATTCGATGATCAACAACAAATGCATAAGACCTTGAATAATCGATTCACAAACACGACAGTGACAATGTTTTAAGGGTGGTCGTGAAACATGAAGGAGACTTTGTCTCTCATATTTCCTGTGAGATACTTGTATTTCTCTGGAAAATGGTCTCATGTGATTTATAAGCGTATGTAGTTTAGTTTCACTGTGATAAGTAGCATTTCCTGAGGAGCAGATACTTCTAAGCGTCAAGTATCAAATAAAACGAGGCTTAAAATTTAATAGCTAATAGAGGACAAACAACTGAAGTAAACAATACTATCTATCCGCTGTGTAAGTGAGTTACTTTTGGTTACCAAGTAAACAACTTTAAGTAATTATAAATTTTCAAGTATTGGTTTGTAGGGATTTTGTCTGATTGGTTGGAGGATTTCATCATGAGCTGACAAAGGTTGGAAAACCGCTGGAAAACCAGCTGGCAGTACTGGGCAGCTGCTTCATCCTTGTTTGGGACCCTTTATAAGTACGCACCCACCACCAGGGTTCGCAACAAGGAGCTTCTGGTTATGAAGCGAGCTCGTAGACCATTAAGCCACTGGGACCCGATACAATGGCTGGCCTGTGAATTCCAGCATTTGGCAATTCACGACATAGCACGACTACTTAGAAATGTCTTTGATGAGTAACTGTCTTCAACTTGGACCATTTGAACCCCACTGACCACGGTTTCCCTCTAGAACCCTAGGTAACTGCCTGAGTGATCGAGCAATTTCGTGAATTGGCAGAAGGTAGAATTCATGGGCCGTTGGATCGCGTCCCAGTGGCTTAATGGTCTATTAGTTCTTCTTGTAACCGGAAGGTTGTGGGTTCGAACACCAGCGGTGGGTGCGCAGTGCTGAAAAGTCCTCAACTAGAACGAAACATCTATCCAGTACCCCCAGTTTTTGCAATGGTTCTCTAACCGACGTCAGTCCACTATGAAATCCTCCAACTAATTATAAATTATTGATAAAATAATCTCAGCGTGTTGAGGAAAAAATAAAAACAAAATTTTTCTGAACGTTTCGCTGTGTAAGCCACAGCGTCTTCATCAGAATTATTCGGAAATATCTACTCAAAAATTATATAAACTGAAGTGAGTTTCTATGATGGCCGCTTGTCAGTAGACATTTATACCGACAGAAAAATGTAAGCGATCATCACATATTTGTAATGCCAAATGGCAAATTGTCATATGTGCATATTTGCCTGTATGGGTGTGTGCGCATGCCCTTTGTTGCGCTGGAAACACATCAGAATATGGTAATATTTCTTGGTGGTCGTAATAAAGAATTGAATTTTTCTCTCCCTCATCTGTTTTGCTGCATTAGAGTCTGCCATATAGGTGATAAGTTTATCCCTTCTGGCCAGTTTACTGTATTCGATGTGGTTAAAATATGCAAAGCTTCAGAAGTCAGACTTTCTTTATGTGAATGAAAGCCTCTCCCTTTTAGTAAGTTCTAAGCCATTGACAGAAAATAACAAATAGTTCAGGGTTGATTTTCATGCACTGGGTTACAGAGACTCGACTGATTTCAAGGCAGAATTCATCACGAACTGACATCAGTAAAATAAGGGCCACCGACAACCAAGGAGTGTGAGTAACTGTTTTGTCGTAGTATGAAACTCCTCAACAGTACCGACACACTACCGTATTAATAAGCAAACTCAGGAACTTTATGTTACATGGTAAAGGAATGTCGACTTGCAAATCGATATCTTCATATACCCAAATTATGTATACCTTATCTTCAACACTTAATTTGCACAAATCTTCGTGTTGTGGTACTTCTAAACTTTATGTTGTGTTTCTTTGTGTTTCTTTCACTTCCTTTATGTATCGCCACAACTATGTATCATCCGTCTTCTCTGAAATCAAATGTTTCTCCCTGCTATTTGATGTTTTTATGCTGATGAACGTCCCTCTACATACTACTGATAAATCTTATCAGTAACACTCGCCACAAGGCGAACAAACGGGAAAAATTTTTCTTTGATCTTAAAAGTATCAACTACAGAAGATCCTTTTAAATCGACTTGTGTTCACCTCATTTGTCGGATAACTTTGAAGTAAACCTTTGCATTTTTGTGTATTTCCGAGTAGGTTATTGTAGGAGAATTATGTAGTAAGTGGAGAGGAATACAAAGTGCTTGTCATGCCCACAACAAAGATCATCTTGTAGGAGTTGGCTAAGATGAAGAGGTTTGTAAAGGAGTAAATAAATAGCCTCATAAATTTTGGAATCCACAAAAATGTCATGACATTTTAAGCTTAAAGATCAAACATTTTTTTTACGGTCACAAAATAAGCCAATCATTATTCAGATTTAAGAAGTTTTTGTTGCTATGTTGATCCATATGTTGTGTAGAAAACAAAAATGCAGGGAACTGTACCACAATGGTGGTAGTTACAGCAGACATTACATCGATCAAAGTGGGCTTCCCCTACGAATCAGAATCCAAGAACACAAATTAGCTGTGAAAAGACATGACATATATTCTTTCACATCAATGCATGTAGATAATTATGGACATCAATTTGATGATAGGGATAATGTCGAGATTTTAAACAGAGGAAACACCAAAAATGCAGTCAGGGAATTCCTAGAAGCCTGGTTCTCAAGCACAGTATTACAGGGCAAATTTATCAGCTAATAAAAAGTAAATCACATGATGAGAAAGTTTAATATCCAAGTCAATAAAAGATGATCAATACCAGTCACGAAGATGGTTGCCAGGCGACACAATTCTATCATTCACGGAGAATTTAAATCAGTTCACCTGTTGCTGAAACTTGCGCTGGAAATGTTGTCCAGCAGGTGGACGGCGAAAGCTCCGCAATTAAACCAACTACCCCAGTGAACACAATTAATTGCAAATCATCCATCTGAGCTACAAATATTCTCTATTATTTCAAGGTAGTTATAATTCTTTGTGCAAAATGCAAAGTTGTAGAACAATCATCTTCGTAGAGAACAAACTAACTATGATGAGTTATATTTGTAGGGTGTAAAAATTAATGAGAAAATCCATGTGGGGAGGTGTAAGTATGGTTAACTGTTGAGGTTAATGCTGTACTCAATGCATCATTTTGATTTCTTTAGATGATAATTGCTAACTGGAGCAATCAAATGATAAACCACCAGGTATCTGAAGTCCTCTTAGGAATAGATTGAATGTTTGGTCTGCATTAGTTTCGAGTGCATGACAGAAATGGAGGTTGAATCTTCAAATGTTGGTTTGTAGGGATTTGATTGGTTACAGGATTTTCATCATGAGCTGACATCAGTTAGAGAACCATTGGAAAACCAGTCAGGGAGTACTGGACAGCAAGCTGTTTCATCCTAGTTTAGGAATCATCCAAAGTATGCACCCACCCTCAGGGTTCAAACCCACGACCTTTTGGTCACAGGGCTAGCTCGTAGACCATTAAGCCACTGGGACCCGATCCAATGGATGGCCTAGGAATTCCAACTTATGTCAATTCACGACGTAGCATGACTGCTTAGAAATGTCTTTGATGAGTAACTGTCTTCACCTTGGACAGGTTAACTGCCTGAATAGGGCCAGTCACTAGTGAGCATTAGACCAGAAGGTCCTGGGTTCGAATCCCGGTGGGTGCGTACTGATGATGAGTCCCAAACTAGGACGAAACAACTATCCAGTACTCCCAGCTAGCTTTCCAGTGATTCTCTAACTGATGTCAGCTCATGATGAAATCCTCCACGCAATCAAACAAAATCCCTACAAAACCAATACTTGAAAATTACTGTATAACACTATGAGACTTTATCAAAACAAAATTTACCCACAATGGAATTACACTCTACCACAGTGCACAAGTTTTATTCTTATATCAATTAAAGGCTTGTTAATTTGGTATCTCTATATAGCCATATTATATATACCTTATTTCAACGCGTCATTTGCACAAATCTTCCTGTTGTGCTACTTCTAAACTTCATGTTGTGTTTCTTTGTGTTCCTTTCACTTCCCTAATGTATCGCCACAACTATGTATCATCCGCCTTCTCTGAAATCGAATGTTTCTCTCTGCTATTTAATGTTTTTATGCCGACGAACGTCTCTCTACATACTACTGATAAATCTCATCAGTAGCACTCACCGAGAAGTGAACAAGGGGAAAAACTTTTCTTCACTCTAAAAAGTATCAGCTGTAAAATACCTATACCTCACTTGTCGGATAACTTTGAACTAAATCTTTGTATTTTTGTGTATTTCGGAGTAGGTTATTGTAGGAGAATTATGTAGTAAGTGGAGAGGAATACAAAGTGCTTGTCATGCCCACAACAAAGATCATCTTGTAGGAGTTGGCTAAGATGAAGAGGTTTGTAAAGGAGTAAATAAATAGCCTCATAAATTTTGGAATCCACAAAAATGTCATGACATTTTAAGCTTAAAGATCAAACATTTTTTTTACGGTCACAAAATAAGCCAATCATTATTCAGAT